AGGGGGTGAGTGCACTTCCTGCTGGGTGTCTCAGCCAATCAGAAGGGAGTGACCATGGTAACTGGTCATCCCTCGGCTGATTGGTTGTTGGAGGCTGTGTTCTAAGAAAAAGAAAGTTTGTATTTTTTGGGGGGGGGGGAATTTTCCTTCATTTCTCTGACAGGGGCACTACATACTCCCCCGAAAAATTAAATGTTGTCTCAACATTTCCAGGCTAAAACAAAAGAATCAATGAAACGCTTAAAAAAAAGTGAAACCTGGAGGATCACTCCAACTATGAGCCGCAACCCATCTCCTCAAGTTACGGACATAGCACAAAAGAAGAAATTATGTGAAGGTGATCAGCCTTTCTCAGTTCCTGAAATCTGATCAAGAAGATCAATGAAAAATGCAATTTACTGCAGTTAGCTTCATTTTCGACTATTAGGCCAGGCAACTAAACACGTAATGCACAAACAAAACTTCAAAAAAATGCTCTCTTTAGCAGACTGATGATGGCTGCCTTCAGCATTGACTGCCATCCTGTTGCATACTGACATGACTAATGGGGTTGATAGTTAGCTGGTGGGTAGTAGGTCACAAGTGGGTATGGCACTTGTCGTGGATGTGGAGTTCCCATCTGCTGTGTTGCTACATGAGGAGATTGGTCTTGGGTGGGGCCAGCAAAAATGTTCCACTGTGCAGAGGGAACAGCGGTAGGATTCGTCATGGAAGTCATCACTGGGGCGACTCGGTGATAATTGGGAACACCAAGTTGATCGTGAGTGAGACTGTTCGGAGGGTGTCTGTCCCCGCTGGGATACCGCGCTTCAGTCTCCATGGTAGGGTCCTCGGGATCATCACCCGCTCCAGCTGATGGTTCCTCCTGTAGTGGTCTAGACTCAGAGTCCTCCTCGATGACTTGTGGGGTAAGTTCCTCCAGCTTCACCCCTGGCTCCTGCTGAGGCTCTGGTAGATGTGGCTCTGTAGTTGGGTGGTGTACAACAACATTTTCCACCTCTGACGTGGCCTGCAACGGCAGATGAGGTTGTTGGGTTTGAAGATAGAACTCGTCATCAGAGCTGCTCACATCTTGGGTTTGGCCTGATCGGTTGGCACGTTTCTTCATTGAACGCAGTCTTCTCTTAGTGCATGGTGGTACGGGTTCTGGTGCGTATTCTGATGTAGGTAGGTGGTTACGGGGGAGGAGCAGGTTCTGATGAAGGACTTTAGTCCTGCTGTTCCCGCTCTCTGGCCTTACCTCATACACCAGCATGTCATCTTGCATCTGTCGGATGACAATGTGTATCTTCTCCCAGTAGGATCTTAGTTTTCCTGGACCCCCAGTCTCATTCAGATTTCACACAAGAACACGGTCCCCCGGCTGAAGACTAATACCAAGTACCCTCTTGTACTGTTCACTGTTACGATGGGTCGTCTTGGAACTATGTCTGGAAGCTAGGGCATATACTTGTTCTGTATGAGTCTTCCATTTGGTGACATAGTCAGCATGGCTTGAAGTGGCACCCTCTGTACTGGTTGGAAGGTTGAAGGAGATATCTATGGGAAGTTGGGGTGGTCTTCCATAGATTAGATAGAAAGGGGAATACCCAGTTGCCTTGCTGCAAGTGCAGTTGTAAGCATGTACAACTTTATCCAGAGACGCCTTACAGTTAGATTTCTGCTCTTCCGGTAGGGTTGGCAGCATCGACAGCCAAGGTGCGGTTGAATCTTTCAACTTGCCTGTTGCCCTGCGGATGCTAGGGTGCGGTCCTCAACTGTTTGATGCCATATAGCTGCTTAAGTTGGGGAAACAACTGGTTCTCAAACTCCCGGCCCTGGTCATGGTGCAACCTTCGAGGAAATCCAAACTCTTCAGGTCAAAGTCGTTGAAGATTTTCTCTGCAGCTTTTTTACCAGACTTGTTGGTTGTGGCATAGGCCTGGGCAGAATTGGTCCATTAAAATTAAAATATACTCATATCCCCCTCTGCTGCACTCCAGGTGAGAGAAGTCGATGGACACCAACTTCAATGGCTCTGTAGTAGTGATGCTCTGAATAGGGGCACGCATTGGTCTGTGGGGTCTCTGCTGCTTCAGACGGTGCACTCTTGAGTGACGTAGTGTTCGATGTCTTTCTGCACATGTGGCCAGTAGAACATATCTCTTGCAAGGCTGAGTACCCTGTCTTCTCCCAGGTGGCCCATTTTGTTATGTAGTTCCTTTACACCCATCGTCTGTGTTTCTGAGGGGAGAACAAGTTGTCCCTGAGATCCTCGCTGTTGGTAGAGTATCCCCAGTTGAAAGTGTAATTTCTCCCATTCATGGAAAAGAGCTGTCGTCGCTAGGTGTTCCCTCACGCTTTTTAGGTTGTCGGTTGTGGCTGACATACTCAAGTACCGGTCCAATCACAGAATCTGCTCGCTGGTCATCGGCTATCTGCTGATCACATCTTGGATTCCCTCATTGTCCAGCGGGATTGAGGAGGTGATTGCTGACATCAACGTGAGTCCTGACTGCTGAGCTTTAATGGCCCTGATGGTGGCATCATTTGGAATCGTCTCCAGGGTGCAACCAGCCATGTACTTTTCCAAGTCGAAGGGTAACCGTGAGAGTT